CTGGTATCAAGGCAATTTGCAATAATCCATTCCCCTAGTCCCTTACAATAATTCATTCCCCTAGTCCCTAGCAATAATTCATGCCCACATATATATATTTTTTTTACAGTGAGTCGGAAAAAGATGGAGTTGTTCAGAACCTCCAGCGTATCTGGAAGTAAAACCCCGATGGAGCCATTAGGGAATGGCGCTGCGACAGATTCTCACGTTGACAATGACTCAATGGACACATAGAAGATGCCCTCTGGTAAACTAACATAGCTATTGAAAATGGCCATTCATAGTGGATTTACCCAGTAAAAATATTGATTTTCCATAGCTGACTGTAAACGTTTACCAGCGGGTAGTCCTTCATTTCACATGAGGCTTGGGAGTTTGTTGTTGCAATGTTTGACGTCCGGGGTGATATCAATCAACATGGTGGTTTCACTAGGTTGACGTCACCTGCAGACAAACAAAAACAAAGGCGATACAAACTTCTCAATTGATGAGATGCAGATAGATTCAATGAACGACCTATTATATAACTGGTTGGTGGTGCAATAACCATTGTGAAAAATATGATTCCGTCAATATGATCCGTATATTATGGACAATAAACAATGTGTAAAACCACCAACCAAATTATATAAGGTGAACTGACCGATACCCATATGATTGACATCCGCTATTGCTTGCAAATATCATCAGAGCTCCTGGCAGTTTGGCTACCCCGCATTCAACAGGCATCTGGATATAGAAAGGATCCCCAGTTTTCTTGGTTCAACTCCATCTGGTTTTGTCTGAAAACTTGAAAACCCATGAATATTCCGTTCTGTTCCATTTAAATGGCAATAAATCCTTTTTGTGATTCTGGGTAAATTGTCATATTTCACTAATCTAAATTAAGGCCATTTTGGGATGATTCCTCTTCTTCACCATGATTCCAAGGTGAGGGCGCAACCACCACAAAGGCTGGGCGTCCGCAGCATTGTTTCGAACTTCTTCGCTCCTTGGGAAATTCCCCCAGAGACACATGGTTTGGGTGGAAATGGCATTGGAAATTAGAAACAATTAGGTTTAACCAACCAATAACGCGGAAAAAAAGATTGAACATCGCCAACATCTAGTGTCTATAAACTCTAACATGGCGAAGTGAAGCCGGTTAGATGGATTTGTACAACCCCAAAACTAGACTAAATCAAACCAGGTGGAAACCTGGAAATTGGTAAAAACCGTTAGAACATTTGTCTATGCAGAGTCTATATACTTGTGTCCCGAACAGTTTCGCACATTGGGTTGGTCCAACATCGCCATTTGAACATGGGTGTTCTTGCAGTTATCATCCCCATATATTTTGGGTTAAATCCCAACATTGTCTCCATTTTATTCATGAAATTTCGACAAAATCATTTTTCCATTATGGTTGAGGCGGTTACATGAGCTCTTTTCCCACAGTCGAATTACAAGTCATGATGCATGAACCACATTTTGTCGATAAGACCTCAATTTTTGAGAAAATCCAAATGTTAAATCCTAACTTCCGATGAGTAAATCACCTTAAAATCATTATCTTTATTGTCTAAATCACCATTTTTCTCTGCTTGAATTACCTTTTTTTCTGCTCCAATCAGCATTTTTGCTGCTTACAGCACCTGTTTTTCCGGTGAAGTCCGCGTTTTGGTGAACTCCCCCAATAATGTCCTTCTGTTGAAAATAGAGGGGCCGGGAGCTGGTATACCATCTATCATCATTTACCTGTTGTTAAACGGGTTTGTTCAACCCCCTCTATTAATCAACCAACCAATGGGAAAGAAAAGGACATCTATGGAACTCCCAAGGGTGCCGGTGGACGACGCCCAGCCAAGCATCGAAACGCCCAGCGCCTGCGCCATGACGCTCGCGATGGCGGGACTCAATCGATGCAGGTCCTGGCAGTTCCAAAAGGGTTACCAATGGATATCCAATGGCTTATTAGTTTTTATATATATATATAGATTGATTAATAGTGATTAATAGTGATTAAAAGTGATTAATAGTGATTGTAAGAAAAATTGTCATCCCATGTATTATTATTGATGGAAGCATTTGAGGGTCAATGGGAATTTCCCATGGTATATGATTTGTATATTCGAAATATCCCATGATACAATTTGCCATGGGCCAATAGTCAATTTGGAATTGATCAACTAACTTGTTAGACAGGGTCAATGGGAATGGAGGTACCGTACCATATTTTGGGCCATATTTTGTGGGGATCCCTTACATAGGCCTTATATATAGTAGGTACCTCCAATTTGGGTTCCTGAAATGGCCATTGACATGAATATTCCCTTACTGTTTCCTGACTACCATGCATATTCACTTGTTGGTAGTCATGGGCATCCGATCACCATATCAACCAGTTCTACATCATTCTAAATCATTCTGCCGTATATCCGTTATCGAAGGAAGTTTAGAACTTAGAAGTCAAACTTCCGACAATATTGCCAGATGGAAAAAAGCAGAGGTGGGAAGAGTCAGTCAGAGAAGAAAGAGCAGAGAAAAAGCAAGAAGATCAGAGAAGAGAAAGAATCAAGAGAAAGAGAAAATGCAGATGCGCGCAAAGGTAAAAAAAGTTGCGAACCATTCTGTTTTTCCAATGATTGGTGGCTCAGGCGGGTCGAAAAGTAGGCTTGCTAAAGCGGCGGGTGCGGAGCCATCTGGCCAGATGAGAGATGAAAAAGTGCACACCGTTGTGGCGCGAAGCACATTTCCAAGTCAAAATGTACAAAGCACACCATGCTCGGAGCACTTTTGGAAGTTGAGATGTCGAAAAGGTGCACGCCGTTGTGGCGGGAAGGACATTTCCAAGCCAAAATGTTAAAAGCACCATAAGTCAGCAAAAACCTGCGGGTTTTGTAGCAGTTTCAACTACAACCACCACTACACTAGACCCCACTACAACTACAACTACAGCTACAACTACAACTGCAACTGCACTCCACTCCACTCCACTCCACTTCACTTCACTACACTACACTACACTCAAGTACACTCCACTTCACTCCACTCCACTAACTACAGCTACACTACATTACACTACACTACACAAATCACACTACAACTACAACTACAACTACACTACATTACACTACACTAATGTACGTACATTACACTACACTAATTACATTACACTAACTACAACTACAACTACAACTGCAGCTACAACTACAATTTCAACTACAACTACAACTGCATTGCACTACACTACACTACAATCCACTACACTACACTAGAGTCCACTACACTCCAGTACACTACACCACACCACACTACACTACACCACACTACACCACACCACACTACACTGCACTACCCTACACTACACTACACTACGCTGCACTAACTACAACTACAACCACAGCTACAACTACAACTACGCTACTTTACACTAGACTAGACTAGACTACACTACACTACCCTACATTACATTACACTACACTCATTACACCACCACGCATGCAACTGCAACTACACTACGCTAATTACAGTGCACCACAACTACAACTCCACTACACTACAACTACAACTACAGCTGCACTACTACATCCAGCAGTTGTGGGTGAGGTGACTGACCAGGTGACCACTGCAACCATTGTAACCACTCCAAAAAACACAACTCCAACCACCTTTCAGTCCATCAGTGGAGTCGCTCTGCCATCCGTGATTCACAACAACCAAGCTCTCCTATAGGTTTCCTGTTCTGAAACTTCCGCCACCGCCTTGTGCGGTACTACTGGTATGTATATATTATATATATATATACACACACCATACTATTTTGTTAGTACAATTAATGGATATCCCCAGTCATGGATATATCAATACTGATTGTCCAGTAAGTAATGATTGTGGATATTAACAATAATCATGATACAATGCAAAAAATATTGTTGCAATTATTGATACTTATAGTTGATATTATACGGATACTGCTAGTCCAATATTGATATGTAGTGAAAAAGGATTATCCAGCCATTATTGGTACCTATTGAGGACTACATTTTACGGGAATCATCGATACTGGTAATTACAATTGATCATGATATAATTATGATGGATATTGATAATGATTCTCATACTAATGATCATGATAATGATCATGACAATCTTAGCAACTGTCAAAATTACCGATATTCACTTGTACCCATGACTCTCCACTAAGTCTCCAAGTGATCTCCACTAAATCTCCAGGTACGCAATCTTCACTTATAGCCATTTATTAGTGGATATGAGTGAATTTGAGTGGACATGAATCCCATGCTCCATTCATATTCAACACCCCCATTCTACGGTATATGCGTTTGATCCCCTAAAGCATCGCAAAAAGCTTTTGGTTGATGGTATACCTACCCCTCTGAAAAATATTGGTCACTTGGGATTATTATTCCCTATATGGAAAAATAAAAAAAATTCCAAACCACCAATCAGAGCTTGGAGTCGGTCGGCTCAGGCAGGACATGTGTGATGTTGCCATGGCCAATCTTAGATACGGTGGATGGTTGTGAAATCCTGCAGCAGTTGGTGGTAAACATCCCAGTGTTTATAGGGGTTCAACCATCCAAGGTGATGCAGGATTTCGCAACCATCCACCGTAGCTTGCCAAAGTAGACATCGACCTCCATTTACTGCAATACATAGAGGTATTATACTCATCCAGGTCGACCCAATATATAAATATGTCGCTTGGAAAAAAACTTTTCGCCGAAAATTCGACCGCAGGTCACGGTCTTGGAGACTGTCACCATCGGATGCCAAAGCTTCATGAGCACCACAGTGCATGTCACGCTCCATGCTCCGCAAGAATCCATTCGAATGAACTCGGTCGGAAAGTGTCCAAAAAAGAGCGTTCCAAAGCGTCAACCACCTAGCTCCTAGTGAGTGGGATGTCATTTGGGTATGAAACAGAAGCAAAACACCAAGCGACATACTCTTCATCACTTAGATCTGTTTGAAATAAAAAAATATGGCACCTACCCTGAAAATCAGCTCATATAACACCTCATTTTTCTTCACACGGCCATAGTTTCGGATAAATATACCATTTACAGGCACAAGATCATGCTGACTTAACAATTCGATAAAGAATCCCTAATACCCTCTCACAATTTATATAACATAGCTATGGAAAATGGTCCATATATGGATGATTTACCTGTATTTTTCTATGAACATCGTTGGTTTTCCACTTCGCTATGGTCAATAAACCATCAAAACAGCAAATCTATAGCTATGTCACTGCTCATTCTCCATTTCCATTTATTTTTTTTAACATACCCTCTGGTAAACTAACGTAACTATGGAAAGATCCACCATTTTGTAGCTGGGTAAATCCACTATAAATGGTCATTTTCAAAAGCATATTCATGATTATCCCATACACCATGGAACATAAAAATGTTTGAAACCACCAACCAGTTAACATATTTTAACATTCCATAGGCCTCCGATTTTTATCCCAACGGGTGAGTAGCATATCTCCGCCTTGTCATTGATGACCTGATAGTTCAACTGATCCAACAAGACATCCACGTGCGCCTCTTGCCTGATTCAACCATTTCGATGCGAAAAAAAAGCGAGTGAATTAAGCCTGGTTGTTGGTATACCTACCCCTCTGAAAAATATGAAAGTCAGTTGGGGCGATTATTCCCAATAATTATATGGAAAAGTAAAAAAATGTTTCAAACCACCAACCAGCGAGTGAATTAAGCTGAATCCATTTTTGGTTGATAATGCAATAACCATCTTGAAAAATATAAGTTCGTCAATGGGAAGGATGACATCCCATATATTATGGAAAATAAAACATGTTTGAAACCACCAACCAGATTTAGGATTGGGGGGGAAAGCTGGTTAATGAATGGTCAATTTACATGTGAATGACATGTAAAACCACTTCATCTATGCCCATTTTTTGATGGTTACATCATGTTACATCCACCATTACTGGCAAGGGATCAAATAGGTCGTATTTCGGTTCATATGAACTTGTGTCATTTATGAGCTGTAGTCATGAGTGGTGAAGGTAATATTTTTCATGTTGTTTCACTTGAATACATAGGGTTTTGACCTGCAAGTGATGGTGAAAGGTTGAGATTAGTGGATCAAAGAGGGGAATCGTAAGCTTAAATTTAACCAATTGGCATAAATATTGATAGGCCAATATTGATCCTTCCCATGCTCAATATCATTTATTTCAACATCATCTGGTTGGTGGTTTTAACAATCTTGAAAAATGATGGAGTTCGTCAGTTGGGATGATGAAATTCCCAACTTTTTATGGAAAGTCATAATCCATCCATGTTCCAGTCACCACCAACCAGTCATAAATACCAATCAAAAAAATGACAAATGTCATCCCTTGCCGTGAAAATTCTCCGTTCATTCTCCCTAAATTCTGCCATCTCCAAAAGCAGTGCTGAGAATGATCGGAAAGATTCACGTGGAAATATCATGGCGGCATGAACTTTTCATGTTTTTTTTCGTCATTTCCATTTATTCATTTCAAGGTATGCAACATATATTTTCATATGATCGGAAGATTATCGGATCATTTCCAATTGTCAGAAATTTCACTGCTTCAAAGAGGTCAAAAACTCTTCTCGCTGCAGAATTCTCGAATCATGCTACACAAATCAAACAAATCAGCCATGTGTGGCGAGAAAATCAAGCATCAAAGCTGCTTTCAACAAGCCACTACTCAATTTTGGTGCAAGTTTGACGAAGCCACTTGTGATATAACCAAGAGATGCTAAAGGCATGAAAATTGCCAAGAACCCTTTAACCACAAGGATCTGTTTGCTCTTCCTTGTGCATTTTTGAGCCTAAAACATCACAAAAGCAACAGAACTACTCTGAGCGATACATCATTATCCATGAAGCACCAATATTCGTTGTATCCCCTTTGTATCCGTTCATTTCCACTTTACCATAGCCCTAGGTGATTCACCAGGAAAAAAAAACAATGACTTCACCCCAGCACTAGTTTCGAATGAGCCACCCATTGGCACAGGCCATCAAAGCAACGCCCTTAGAGCGGTTGACCGAAACTGCATGGATCAATGATACCCAAAGAAGAAACATGGATTTTACTTAAGACGAATGTGAATTTACCCCCTGGTAAGCTAACATAGCTATAGAAAATCAACATTTTGAATAGGTAAACCATATATTTCAATAGGCCATTTTCTGTAGCTATGTAAACTTTTACCAGAGGGTAACCATAATTAATCCCATTAATCTCAATAATCATTATCCATCACTATCCCATTAATCACAACAGTTGGCTAGACCCTAAACCCCTAAATAACCTATCAAAGATTTGGATGGTTTTATCCTCAAATAAAACCTATCATATCCATCACAATCCCAGTAATCATGGTTTTATCGAAGATAGGCAAGTTGGAATCCCATGATTTGGATGAAGCCTGGGTGAGTACTGTCCTGGGTGTGTTGGGTGGGATTGTGAATGGGAGATGGTGAGCATTTAAAATCGGAGACCCGGCCTGGTAAACGTTAACAAAAAGCTATTGAAAATACCTCATTTATACTTGATTTACCCATTAAAAATGGTAATTTCCATAGCCACGTTAGTTTACCAGAGGGTATCAAACACGAATGCATTTAAAAAGGGCCAATCATACATGAAAGTGCAGTATTCAGCAGCAGAATTGGGAATTCACCGCCAGGCAAACATAGCTACGACAGATCAGGGTAAACAATGCTGATCATATTTGTTGATTACAAACCAAATAAAGCAAAATCATTCTCAATGCCAGACGTTGTACGAGGAATACCCTCTGGTAAACTAACAAAATTAAAGGACCGGAGAACCCCACAAGTCAACTTCTTCCAATACTGAGCTTCAAAGGTTGTAGCGGGGACGGGGAAGGAAGGAAAGACAAAGGAGGTGGTGAAAGACTGTGTGTGAAAGTATGTGAAAAGATAGTATGCATGTACGTATGTATGTATGTATGTACGTACGTGTATGTGTATGTGTATGTGTATGTGTATGTGTATGTGTATGTGTATGTGTATGTGTATGTGTATGTGTATGTGTATGTGTGTGAGATTGTGCCACGCCTGCCACGTGAAATCAAGGTGGATGTCACCAAGTGCCACGCCTGCCACGCAAAAGTGGCGCGGCGTCATGGATGTGAAATTGTCCCACGCCTGCCACGTGAAATCAAGGTGGATGTCACCAAGTGCCATGCCTGCCACGCAAAGTGCCGCGCGTCACGCGCGACTAAACCGGGCCCAAGGGCGCCACCCAGTGCCATGAGTGAGGCGCCTGCCACGCAAAACGACCGTGGATGTGAGATTGTCCCACGCCTGCCACGTGAAATCAAGGTGGATGTCACCAAGTGCCACGCCTGCCACGCAAAGTGCCGCGGCGCCACGGGCGTCACGCGCGACTAAACCGTACCAATGCCATGAGTGAGGCGCCTGCCACGCAAAACGACCGTGGATGTGAGATTGTGCCACGCCTGCCACGTGAAATTGAGGTGGATGCCACGCCTGCCACGCAAAAGTGGCGCGGCGTCATGGATGTGAGATTGTCCCACGCCTGCCACGTGAAATCAAGGTGGATGTCACCAAATGCCACGCCTGCCACGCAAAGTGCCGCGGCGCCACGGGCGTCACGCGCGACTAAACCGGGCCCAAGGGCTCCACCCAGTGCCATGAGTGAGGCGCCTGCGACGCAAAACGCCCGGGCGACATGTATGTGAGATTGTGTGTGTGTGAGTGTGTGTGAAGTTAGTATATGTTAAGTTTGTGCGTGTGAAGTTATTGTATGTGAGAGATGGTATGCGTGTGATTGTGTGTGAAGTTAGTGTATGTGAGAGATGGTGTGTGACAAAGTTGTGTGTGAAAGATGGTGTGTGACAAAGTTGTGTGTGAAAGATGGTGTGTGACAAAGTTGTGTGAAAGATAGTGTGTGACAAAGTTGTATGGGAAAGATGGTGGTTGACAAAGTTGTATGGGAAAGATGGTTGTTGACAAAGTTGTGTGTGAAAGATGGTGTGTGACAAAGTTGTGTGTGAAAGATAGTGTGTGACAAAGTTGTATGTGAAAGATAGTGCGTGACAAAGTTGTATGGGAAAGATAGTGTGTGACAAAGTTGTATGTGAAAGATAGTGCGTGACAAAGTTGTATGGGAAAGATAGTGTGTGACAAAGTTGTGTGTGAAAGATGGTGTATGACAAAGTTGTATGTGAAAGAGAGGAGGCGGGAGGAGGCGGGAGGAGGCGGGAGGAGGAGGCACCCGGGATACAGAATCAAAAACAAGAACCCCACACAAAGTTGTGGGGAACTATGGAAAATCACCATTGAATAGGTAAATCAACTATAAATGGGGTATTTTCCATAGCTATGTTAAATAACCAGAGGGTACTTAATACCGTCTTCTACTAATGATTACTAACGGGTATCCCGTATGCGAACCATGGTGCTGGTATATTTACCTACAAAACTGGGTGATTTTGTTCAGGCAAATGGACAGGTATGCATATTCCAGCACCATGGTTAGCATATGGGCTAGATAACGTTTATTATGGGGATATTCCCTGAAATTTAGGGCTGAAAAATAGGCCTTATATATGGTAGCTACCTCCAATCAATCGGTTCCTAAGTCATGACCATTGAGTGTATGGCAAAATAATACATACTCAGGTATGACAAAAGACTCGGGCAGGCCCCGGCGGTGGACAATGCATGAAAATCGAAGAAAATTCTACATGATAGTTCCATTGACAACTATATTATCAACCATTACCATGTATATTGATAGTTTTGGTATCAACTATGATACCCATCATGTATTGTAATGGATTGATATATCACTATCTATGTTTTGATTGGTGCATTATCATCCATTTATATGAACCATTAAATTAACCATTATATAGCATGTTTATCAACCATAATATTGGTGCTACCGTGGATGGAAGAAATCCTGCACCAGTTGATAGATGGTTTATCCCATTATTTAAAGGGTCTCAACCATCCAAGGTGGTGCAGGATTTCTTCCATCCACAGTAGTAATGGTTACAGTAATTATCAACCATCAATGAACCATCTGTTAATCTATTGATATTAACTATCAAATGATAATGACTGGATAATAATAGTTTAACATTGAAAACTGATATTAATATTATTAAAAACTATTATTGATATTAATGAACCATCTGTTAATCCTATTGTTAGTTCGTTGTTCCATTAAAAACTGGACGTGAAGGGGATGGGTCACCGTTTTGAAGATCGTGGCGAAAAATAACGGCTGTGTTAAGCTTTGTATAATATTGTATAATGTATGTCATTGTATGATAGTATGGATCTGTATATGTATATTTGGTTGGTGGTTTCAACCCCTCTGAAAAATATTAGTCAGATTGGATCATCATCACAACTATTGGGGAAAATAAAAAATGTTCCAAACCACCAACCAGATATTATGGATATGTATATAAAATATAGAAATATATAGAAAGTCTCTCATGTTGTCCAATGCAACGAAACAATACGAAACAATTCTCCACCACTTTGCCTCCAAACTCAGCCCTCCAAGGAGAAAAAAACATGTCCTGACCACCGGATAATATTATTTATACATCAACGGATTATCAAGATTGTCAATTATATCAATATTTACAACTTTGGTTGTCAATAACTGAATATTACCTTTGGTAACTTCTGGTTTTTTCAACTGATATTACCATGATTATTCATTCTATAGGAATATCTATTATATCCTATTATCCCATATTAACCCATTATTCCTATTACAGCAGGAGTGCCTTTTGTGCTTCGCTGACCTCATAGCTCGCTGAGGTAGTGCAGCTGTGCAGACTGCGAATCAACTGGTGTAATTGGCGCGTTGCAGTTTCTAAGTCTGCGATTTGCTGAGGCAAAACTTCTGGGACATTCCGTAGTTGGCGGCTAGCCTTTGCCAATAACTTAGTAGCGGCTTCAATTTCCTCCGTGGAGACTTGACACAATGTAAGCTGGGTGATCGATGCAGCCATGCGGGAAATAGCAGCTTTCTCCATTGGAAAAGTACCAGTGAGGTTACGGCTCTGATTATTCAATCTATCGATAGGAATATCTATTATATCCTATCTTATTAACCCATATTAACCCACTATTAACCCACTATTCCTATGAATATTTCTTTCTTTGTGTCCAGTAAGTGGAGTGATTTGGCACGGTGAACACGGGGCTACCACGGTGAATCCGCCACCGAGGCCAAGTTGCTATGGCCCACCACGGGCGCGCCATGACCTCACAGCACTTCGACGGGGCTACCACAGTGCAGGATGGTTTGACCATAGAAATAGATGGCTTAAATGGTTTAAATAGCTACAAAATGATGATTTCTTATTTTATCTCAAATTGATGTTTGTGATTAATGATTAATGGGATAATGATGGATTTCATGGGATAATGATTATTGGGATGAATGGGATTAATTATGGTTACCCTCTGATACACGTTTACAGTTTGCGATTGAACATTGCCATAGAAATAGTGTGTTTTCCCATTAAAAGTGGTGGATCTTTCCATAGTTATGTAAACGTTTACCAGAGGGTATCTTATCTATATCAACTTGATGTTTACAGTGTTTTCCAGAAATCGCGAAGATATTTTTTGATGAATAGTTGCCATGCAGATTTAGGGGTAGTTTTTGACCACCCTGAAAGGGTTGTGTAACTCGGACTAGTCGCCATGTTAGCACCAGATTCCCGATGTTGAAGCATGACGAAACACATGGATTTTTTGGGATACCCATAAGGTTTAGCTAATTAGTGAGTTTTCTTGGGGTAAATGTATGCTAAACCATAAATATAGAATACAAATACATGTCCCGATTTACAATTTACAGCAAAGAAAGACAGTTGTAGTTGTACTCCATTTACACAGGAAAGGCCGTAGTGTAATTCTCATCACAAACGGGGATGCAACGGCGAAATTCCTCTTGCATCACCCCCATGTGCTGATTGACGGGTAGTCAAGGCCCGAAAAAAGATCCGTGTAATGTCAACCCCGGATTTTGCTAAACCATGGTTTATGAAAATTAGGGGGGTATTCCTCCAATAGTCATGATTTGATACTTAAATGGTACCCAATTAAACAGCCGTTTGGGGTTTATTAGTGCAGGGTCGACATTACAAGTATCAAGCAACAAGGTTTTCAATTCAACAATTCCCTTCTTGGGGATGCTTGAAAGAAATGCGCAGTGCTCAAGCCCACTGCAGGTTGATTATTGTATGGGCTTAACCAACAATAGTAATTCCTATAATCGATGATCACAATTACAGTAAATCCTATATTTTATATATAGGGTTATTGTATACAATTATAGTATTAACCAACCATTATAGTGTTATAGTATAGGGTTATAGTATTAAATTGGGATGATCACAATCCATTATAGTAAATCCTATTTTTCAATGATGTAACCAACCACCTTCATCATGGCTAGTCTTGTCGGTGGTCAAAGAAAAACAACACTGCGATGTTTATAGGAGAAAACATATGGAGGTTTCCTGAAATAGGGGTACCCCCAGTCATCATCCATTTTAGTAGGTTTTTCCCATTATAAACCATCCATTTGGGGTACCCTCATTTATGGAAACACCCATATGGAGTATCAAAGTTACCATCCAAGATCTTCCTTGACCCACTGCCAGAAAAGTGAAACATTTCTCCTTGGCACACCAAATCCTTTCGAACTTCTTGTGTGAAAAACACGCTCCCGTCCTACACCCCCAAAAATGTCTTGAAACCAATGGTGAAAATTGTTTATGACAAATCCTTTATAAACAACTCTAAACTATCCAAATATACCAGTAGTACCGCACAAGGCGGTGGCGGAAGTTTCAAAAATAGGAAACCTATAGGAGAGATTGGTTGTTGTGAATCAGGGATGGCAGAGCGAAGCCACTGATGGATCGAAAGACGATTGATCTCTCTCACTCTTTCTCTGACTATCTACCTACCTACCTATCTATCTAGCTATGTATCTATCTATCTATCGATCTATCTATCTCTCTCTATCTCTTTCATCTAATTACCTATTTATCTATCTATCTATCTATCTATCTATCTATTTCTCTGTCTCTATCTCTCTCTCTCACTCTCTCTCTCTCTCTCTCTCTCCTTCATCTGTCTAGCTGTCTAGCTGCCTATCTGTCTATCTATCTATCTGTCTACCTGTCTATCTGTGGTGCGGTGTCATTCAGTGTAATGTAGTGTAGTGCAATGTAGTGTGGTGTAGTGGAGTGTAGTGGAATGTAGTGTAGTGCAGTGTAATTTAGTGTAGTGGAGTGTAGTGGAGTGTAGTTGTGTAGTTGTAGTTGTAGTGTAGTGGAGTGGAGTGTAGTGTAGTGTAATGTAGTGAAGTGTAATGGAAGGTAGTGTAGTGTAATGTGGTGTGGTGTAGTGTAGTGTAATGTAGTGAAGTGTAGTGTAATTTAATGTAGTGGAGTGTAGTGTAGTGGAGTGTAGTGTAGTGTAATTTAGTGTAATGGTGTGTAGTGGAGTGTAATTTAGTGTAGTGGAGTGTAGTGGAGTGTAGTGGAGTGTAGTTGTGTAGTTGTGTAGTTGTAGTTGTAGTGTTGTGGAGTGTAGTGTAGTGTAATGTAGTGCAGTGGAGTGTAATGTAGTGTAGTGTAGTTAAGCGAAGCGAAGGGAAGCACATCTGAACCTCCAAAAGTGGTCCGAACCCCTAGTGTTTTGTACGTTTTCACTTCGACATGTGCTTCGCGAAACAACGGCGTGCCCTTTTTCGACATCTGAACTTCAAAAAGTGGTCCGAGACCGTCAGTTTTTAACACTTTTGACTTGGAAATGTGCTTCGCGCCACAACGGCGTGCACTTTTTCGACATCATAACTTCCAAAAGTGGTCCGAACCCCTGGTGTTTTTAACATTTTGACTTGGAAATGTGCTTCGTGCCACAACGGCGTGCACTTTTTCGACATCGCAACTTTCAAAAGTGGTCCGACGCTGAGGTGTTTTGTACATTTTGACTTGGAAATGTGCTTCGCGCCACAACGGCGTGCACTTTTTCGACATCATAACTTCCAAAAGTGGTCCGAACCCCTGGTGTTTTTAACATTTTGACTTGGAAATGTGCTTCGCGCCACAACGGCGTGCAATTTTTCATCTCTCATCTGGCTAGCTGGCTCCGCACCCGCTGCTTTAGCGAGCCTACTTTTCGACCCTCCGGAGCCCCAAATCATTGGAAAAACACAATGTTTCGCGACTTTCCTACCTTTTCGCGCATCTGTATCTTCTGTCCTCTTACTCTTTCTCTTCTGATCTTCTCTCTTCTAATCTTCCTCTTCTCTCTGCCTCTGCCCTGCTCTGCTTTTCATCTGTCCATATTGTCGGAAGTTTGACTTCTAAACTTCCTTCGACTATAACAATCTATAACATTGTGTTTTTCTCCAGCATTTTTTTTTCTCTTTCCACACCCGGAAGAACACAATTCATTATAATTCATGTGAGGCCCCCAAAAAGGGATGCTTTTCTGCTGGTGAGTAAGCCCAATAAAACACCCGGTCTGTATTGGATGATTACCCTCTGGTAAATTAACATAGACCCTGGCAGATAGGGGTTGGAAGATTAGTTTCCATTCAAACTAGGCTATTTTCAGGGTCTATGTTAATTTACCAGAGAGTACCGGTCTGAATCCCGGTGAATGTGACCCCAAATTCGCAAAAAACTCCAGTTTTTACCATGAAGTCCAACAAAAACCACTCCATGGCCAATCTTAGATTAGATACCCTGCAACAAAAAATCTTAGTTGGTTAGTTTATAGTCCCATTGATACCAAAAAGACTAAAGGATTAAACTCCCCATCCAAGATTGACCCAGTGAAGTCCAACAAAAATCACTCCTGCCCAAACTTCTTGGCCCCGGCGCACGAGCTGTTCGCAACCGTGCTGTTCTGTGGACTATAGAGCTGGGAGATGGCTATGGGAGCAAGATGTAGGTGTGAAAATGAGGTATACGGTATACCCCCATTACTATACCCAAATATCATAATATCAAAATATAATATTATTCCCCCATTTATATCATACTGTAATCTTGCCATTTGGGAAATACCCTGCAAATATTACACTATTCAGAGATATTAATGGGGGAATAATTCAACACCATCAAATTTGTGGTTTCCTATTTTTGATCATATCATTCTTTGGGCAGAAGCAAAAACCAGATCGAAAGGGAACCTATGCTGGGAGTTACCACATGATAACACATGCAAAACAAACCTAAAGAAACATGCAAACCCAAGGGCGAAAATAAGTCCATGTGATAGGCAAACAAAAAATACACACAAGGGTTATGTAACAGTAATGATTTTTAACATAAAATACAGGAACGTAAAGTACGGTCTACTTTCGAACTACCATTTACAATGCGAAGAACAATATTCTTGTTCTATTCACATACATACAACTAAAAGGAACCAAACAAACATTTGAGAAACGAAATGAAGCAAATAGACAAGCTTGACGGTGATAAACTCGCCATGTTTGTGGTGGTAAGCAGCTACTGCAATGAAGGTACAATCACATTGGATTGGGTCAAGGAAACAAAACTGCAGGACACCCCATATTTCATGGGACTAACATAGGTTTCCATCATGGATTTTCCCTAAATCATCCCAGGATATTCCCCATCAATGCATGGTTATTGGTCAAAATTGGATACGTTTGAAATGGGAAGGTTCATACTAAAATAGATCGTAATAGACCATCATCTTGAGCCCAGATCCTAAAAAAATAAACCCATATGTAACATGTATATATACATATGTATGAATGTAATGTAATGTAATGTACTGTAATGTAATGTAGGGTAAAGGTAAAGGTAAGGTAAGGTAAGGCATGGTATGTATGTATAGTAAGTAAGAAAGTAAGAAAGTAAGAAAGTAAGAAAGTAAGAAAGTAAGTATGTAAGTATGTATGTATGTATGCATGGATGCATGTATGTATGTATGCATGGATGCATGTATGTATGTATGTATGCATGGATGCATGGATGCATGGATGTATGTATGTATAGCTGGTTTAATCACCACTAACTGGAATGCACGGTGCGAACTAATCCCGATGAGAGGGGCCCCAATTGAATGGATTGAATACACTGCACCAGGATTTCGCTTCGGGGGTAATAAATGAATAAGTATAGAACTTATAGAACATGTGATACTGTATATACTGTGTACATTTTCATATTTTTGGACTTTTAAAAGAGGCCCCGAGCTCACAACACATTCCCTAGTTCTCGCTTCAGTTCTCATGGATTTTCCCTTACGAAAACCCAGGGGTTTCCCCGTCAGCACGACTGACCTTGTTTTCGAACCGCACGACTGGAAGCTTTGCTGAAGCAGAGGCAGTAGTTCGGCAGCGCCATTGGAAACACAAATCCTGGTGATTTGCCGTTGGAGACACCAAGGTTCCTAAAGTGTCCTAAATTCGGTGATCTGTTTCTGAGAGGAATCATGGCCACCATAGATTCATCAGGCCATCACCGCCATGCCACTGCACCCCGCGAGCGTCTCGCGCATTCGCGAGACATGGCACACCACGGCTAGCCTAGATGTCTCAGCTGCAGAAGCGCAGGGCAATTTACAGCATGCCCAATCTTAGATAATCTGACTCTTTGTGTTGTTTTATTGCTGGTTCGGTTAATATATATATATATAATATAATAATAGTAATAATAATAATATGTATATATATAATATATGTATATATAGATTTTTTTTTTTAAATATATATAGCAGACAATTGACATATTGAACATGATTAAACTATACATCCAAGGTTCCAAGGTTGGCCCGATGATTTTCCAGAGAACAAAAAGCATCGAGTGTTTATCCAAAGGTCAATGGCCATGTTAGGAATCGATTGATTGGAGGTACCTACCATAATCTACCATATATAAGGCCTATTTAAAAAAGGCCTAAATTTCAAGGAATATCCCCACAAAATATAGCCCCAACATATGGTACGTTTACGTAGCTCCATGTATAAGTATAGGATCCTGAAATTCCCATTGAATAGGGTCTCAACTCGGTGGCTAGTCATCAGTTTCACGAGCAAAAAAGCACATCTGTCAACCGCTGAAAAGGAACAGCTCCAAAGACTTACACGATTTGTGTGACCTATACGGATACTCATGTCACGTTGCTTAATAGGTCAGTTCACTTCTTAAGAATAACCGACATGTGAGGCTTAGACGGCTTAGAGAGATCGAGTTTTTTCCGATTCATTTCCATCTTCAGCTACAAACGATAGCTAAGTTGGTGAACATAACTCCAATAACTATGGTTTATGGTACCTATAACTATAGTATTCATGGGGTTTAAAAACCATCGTTCACATCACCGGGGGTCCCCACATTGTACCCCCATCTTTTTGTTGGTCTTTGTGACATCGGAGCCCCGTTTGAACGTGTGCTGTTCACGTGCAGATTTCTGCTGCCGGTCACGTTGAGGGGCGTCCTCAAAAAAAACCAACCAGCGATCGATCCAGAATACCTTTCGATTTTCTCGAGCTGCTTATACAGGATGGGGCCCCCTAGTGATGTTTGTTGGTTATAAACCATGATAATCCCCATGAAAACTAGTTCGTTATATCTACCATAAACCATTGAATTCAACCACTTATAAACCAACTGTTCACGCTATCGACTGGGGGCCCCATCTTATAGTAAATATGAGGATAAGGTAACCTCCCAAGTCCCATGGTTTCTCATTTTCCCTGTAAAAACATGCCATTTTGGGATGTACACCATTTTCAGGCACACCCATTTTGCAAAAGGTTGCAGTATGAAATTACTCAACCGAGGTTTACTCAAACCATAGCACACTTGGAACCTGCATGGTCAGTGCCTTCAGTCTATCTCAAAAAAATAACACCCAGATTTCACTGCTGGGTTACAAAAAATCTAAGTTTACATAAGTTTACAATGACCTTCATGAAATACACCAATCAACATAATTCTATAATGACATACACCTTGACTTTTCACCACTTCACCATTTCAGAAATGGTCATCAGAAACCATCTATTTCTATGGGCATTCTTCCATAGTTTTCTGTTAAATAACCAGAGGCTAACTCCAACATTTGCCATGCAGACCCCGCGCGGATGAGGATGATGATTTAACCTGGACAAAATGCTGATTTTTCATCACTAAAATGTTATATAAAATAGGAATTTGACATCATCATGACGATGATCTTCAAAATCAAGCGTTGAACACTCAATCTGGTTAATTGTTTAACATACATAACTATGGAACAATGCCCATTTATAAATGATTTCTGAGGATTTACTTAGCAAGAATGGACCTGATTTTCCAGTTCGCTACGTTAAAAAACCAGAGGGCACCAATTTTGGGACGCACCAATTTCATGACCAGAAGGACCTCAGCCTAGGGGCTGCAGCTACCGAGCAGTGGACGCAGGTCCCATGGCGGATAGACAATAAATCACATTAGTGGTAGATGATAGAAATATGATACTAATATATATATATATATATATATTATACATATATTTCATATATATTTCATTTATATTTCATATATATTTCAAATATATTTCATATATATTTCAAATATATTTCATATATATTTCATATATATATATATCAAATATATTTCACATATATTTCAAATATAGTTCATATATATATATTTCATATATATACATATTTTTTTTTATATATTTCATATATATTTCATATGTATTTCATATATATTTCATATATATATATTTCATATATATACATATTTTTTTTAAATATTTCATATATATGTCAAATATATGTCATATAGTTTAATCACATCAATGATCCAATTTCAAGTGCTACTCTTGATCAGTCGATCCGTATCCTTTTCGTGTTTTTCCGAAAAAAAATGTTGTGCTTTAGACAAGTTACAAGACATCAGCACAAAGAAACAATACCCTCTGGTAAACTAACATAACTATGGGAAATCATCATTTTTTTATGGGAAATCACCATTAACATAGACCCTGGCGGTCATCGGGGTTGGAAGATTAATTTCCATTAAAACTTGGCTATTTTCAGGGTCTATGTGAATTTACCAGAGGGTAATGTGTGTAAAATAACTTCATAAACCATCCCCCTAAAATCTCCATTGTTATATTTTCAACTATAAAATACTATAAACCATTCCCAAAATATGTGGTAAAAATGGCATTGCTTTACCCGCGCATTGGTTTAGTTTTAAATGGCATGATAAACCCGAGTTAGACAAATAGCCAATTTGGTCTATATCAGTCTATATCTCCCCTGCTACTGTTGTGTACAATTGCCACAAAAAAGATGTCCTTCCCACAGCTTTCCAAGATTTCACCAGGACACATCCGGAACAGAAAGATAGAAGAACTGTTCTCATCACTTACCCTCTGGTGAACTAACATAACTATGGAAAATCACAATTTTAATGGGTAAATCAACGAACTAAATGGCAATTTTCAATAGCAAACTGTTAGTTTACCAAAGGGTATCTCTTGGTTGTTGGGGGCAATCCCTCCATCTTCATCAACCAGTGACAACATGCTTGGATGTTTTTCATGTGTATGCCAGTCAGTATGTAGTATTTCGCCATATACAAGCCATATACAACCCATACAACAATTATACAACCTGGATACTATGACCCGGCATATTCCAGTCATATCACTGTTCGCTCACATCCATCCGACCTGGCTGGAATCCTACATGTTCTCACCGAAAAAATCGTGCGATTTTTCCGCCATGTGAAAAATTACCAAAGGGCAAAAAAGTTCCCTTCCACAACAGTATCCGAGATGTATCCGAGGTATGCCGAATTTGAGAGATCTTCAGGATCCGATTGAGGACGGAGGTACCGATTCCATATATGTTTGGCCTATTTATAGAAGGCCTAAATTTCAGGGAAGATCCC